AAATGATAAAAAAATAAATGAACACTAAGGCCATTAAATACAAAGAGAGAGATTTATTTGAGTGCATTATTTATGGTTTTAAAAAATCTTGTTTTGACAAAATAATGTTTTATGGAAATCTTTACCTAGACATGAAAATATGTAAACATTATATAAAATAGATTCTTAAAGTACTAAGAAATTCTGTAAGAAGTTGCATACAGTATATAATTTATTAAGTTTAATTTCTCCACCCAAAATAACATTTTCTCATTACTCTCTTCACTGTAACCACTCCTCTCTCTCTAAATAAGGTGGGTGTCTAAGGAGGTAGAGCAACTCATTTTATAAACCCTGCAACATTGCATTAATAGGAATCGATTTACCACAAATTTAGCATCTCAGAGAATATTCTATCATTAATTATTTACCCATGACATGACCTCAGTAAAGCATAACTTCAGGATATTATTACTTCTTCTATTTTTGTGACCATAAAACAATTAGATAGAGATGGAAACTACTCTAGAAAAGTAGTTTGCTACTCATAGCTACTAGAATCTTATCTCTGGGTTTTAGTTTATTTTTAACTCAAATTTCAGGTTGATAATGCTAAATTCAAATCTAGGTTTTATGCAGCATGATTACAAAATGTGCAAGAAAGTAGCGCATCATAAACACAAGGTCAGTTGCTCGGTGGACATTGTCTTATCCCACGCAAAGCTGTTTTTATTGATTTTCAAGCATTAGAAAATCATACCTGACTATGAAAGATAAGCAAATCAGGTGGTAAAGCTCCATAGTAATATATTTCTTTAACTTTTAAAGATTGCAAATTAAAGAGAATTATAGAAGGAAAGTTGCTGATAGAGGAAATGTAACAATCATTCAAACACACAAACCCACTAGTAACATGAAGTTGATTAGAAATAACCTTAGGGGCCCTGTGTGGCTCAGTCGGTTAAGCCACGGACTCTTGGTTTGGGCTCAGGTCATGACATCAGAGTCATGAGACTGAGCCCTGGGTGGAGCCCCACTCCAGCTTGGTGCTCAGTTGAGAGTCCACTTCAGAGTCTTTCTCTCCCTTGGCCCATCCCGCCCCCACCATGATCACGCTATCAAATATATAAATAAATAAATCTTTTCTTAATAAAATAAATAACCTCACATTTGCCTATAGGATCTATTATTCTATGGATTTTGCAGTTGGACTTCTTTAAAAGATTTATTTATTTAAGAGAGAAAGCTCGAGTGTGCACATACACAAGTGCATGTACAAGTGGGGAGAGGGGCAGAAAAAGGGAGACAAGTAGACTCCCTGTTGACCTCTGAGCCCAAAACAGACTTGATCCCAGGACCCTGAGATCATGATCTGAGCCAAAATCAGGAGTTGGGCACTTAACCAACTGAGCCACCCAGGTGCCCCTAGATTTTTCTTTTTTAAAGAGAGAGACAAGCATGTGGGCTCCTGCACAAGTAGTTGGGGATGGGGGTGGAGACAGACTGGAGAGAGAGAGAATCTTAAGTGGGCTCCACACCCAGTGAGGAGCCAGAGGCAGGGCTCCAGCCCAGGATGGATCTCATGACCTGAGCCAAAATCAAATGTTGGAACCTTAACCAATTGAACCACCACAGCACCCCTGCAGTTAGATTTTAACTGAGGCAAACTGTAATTAAACTACTCAAAATGTGGGAAAAAAGTTTTCAACTCAAAAGAAATAAATTCTTGTAACTATTAAGATATGCAGGATATTTTCACTCACCTTAGTCAAACATAAGATTAAATATCTTCAATGCAAGCAGTAATTATAACATTTGGATGGGTTTGTGCCTTATGATACTCACTAAAAACTCAAATTTCACTTTAAAAATGAAGATTATTAAGCATGACAATATTTCAATAGACTCCTTTTAATGTATACTTGCTCCTAACAAATATTTTTGTAATCTAATGACTATTTATCTAAAATTAAATGTAACATTGAAATAAAATGGTATAATACCTCTATAATAAGCACAAACTATAAAAAAATGAACTTATCCTTCTAGTCTATTAAAATATCTCCACTTATCAATATCCATTTATTGTTTCCATCCATCCACATTAAAATGTTCATATTCTTAATAGGGTAACACAGAAATGAATGTGAAGTTCCTATATGAAGAGGTATATTTAAATGAAAGTCCTTTGTAGTTGTGTTTTTAAGAACCCCTAAGTTGTCAGGAGTGTTATTCAAAAAGTGTTACATCAATAATAGGCTTCGATTACTAAAATTACACTACAAAAACAGTATAGATATGTTTATGAGAAATCAAAGCGTGAAACAGTTTCTTTTTAAAAAAGCAACATGACTGGTTGGATTCAACAATATATATTAAAAATCCAAAGATTTTTTTTCATTTTAAACCAGTCCTAATATTTAGAAAAGCAAATAGTATAATTCCTCTAACAAAAATCACAGAAATATTAAGAAAGGAGAATCCTTTAAATAATTTTCATATACTGTTTCAAATAAATTGCCCTTGTACTAATCATAGGGGTCCTCTGAGGCTTACAATAGTTGATGTCTTAATGTTAGAGAAAGTGACATATCGCATAAAGAAAACATATTGGATCTTTCCTTTTTGGGACTATCTGTGTTAACCTATTAGTTAAAACTGAATAAAGAGAAGATCAAATAAAAACACATCTTTACCTCCATCCAAATAAAGTCTATAAATGGGGTTGTTATATTAGCTACAACTACTGTTAAAAGTCTTTGGGCATTTAAAACCAAAATGAAAATCTTTTAATAATACAAAATTATTATCTAATAACTGATCTGTAAGTCATCAAAATGGCATCTTGACTTGGGCATCAACATATGAATAGTTTCCATGACATTTAGAGCTCTGTATTCAAAAGATTAATAAAATTATATTTGAGAAAATACCTCACGATATTTTTAAAATGATATTATAAACATCACATGACATCTCAACAAGATAAATTTTGTACTTCAGTAGAGGTAGCAAATTAAATTCAATCATTATTATGAGACTCACTACCCAGATGAGCTCTAGACAAAGGGATATTATATCGAGGGAATATCAAGAGGACATGGTAATATTTAGGAGCACAGATTAGAAATGGCCCAGTGGTCCTAATCTAAGTTCTCCCTTCCTATTTCTCCCTGTTCTGTCCATGTGCAGCACATATTTTGAAAGATTTTGACTTCAATAAAAAGATAAATTAAATTTGTATTTTACAATTTAAAATTTAATATCAGCTTACTAGAACTTCTAATATGCAAAAACAACATTGTTTCCTTGAGTTGATATAATTCTAACCAAAAGCAATTTCTCATCTTGAGAAGTGTGAAAGTTTTATAGGTAAATGAACTATTCACATTAGTTTTCTTAAATATTTAATACTATTTTTAAACTTTAGTTGTTATGTATAAATATTCCTAAATATTCCCAGAGCTTGAGGAATTAGTTTTATAGTACAATCCCTTCTCGTTAGAGGAAAGGAAATTCAATTAGGACACTTAACCATTTTCAGAAACTTGTTAATGACAGTCATATACTGATCTTTTCACAATGCTACATTTATATAGCTGCATTCTATAAACTTTAGAAATCAGATATTTAAACAGTGTTAGTCATAATGAGGTCAGAACCCAAGCTACCTGATTGATCTTGACTTCTTTTCTAATGATTAGAAGCATAAACTGTCGTTTGGCCTATGCCATTATGGAAGGCCTTCACATTGCCTGCCTACTGATTGTTTTTACTTCCAGAATCCATAATTTCATCTAACAGATGGTTTAACATGTGTAGAAGACTCCACACAGAATTCCACTTCTTGTCAAATATTTATGTATTTATATTTAATAAGATCCTTTCAACTGGATTACTTTATGATAGAGTCATACCAAGTATATTCTTATTGATGTTGCATTGGCCATATACCAAAAATCAGCCAGAGATGATTGAGATGAATTATTTATTTCTGGGGGAGATCTGTAAAGTTGGCAAACATATTATAGGCACACACTGAGTTTTCATAGATGTTTGAAAACTGAAGAATAAGAACAATTCATCTCATTCACTAATTATATAGCTTAGAATACTCTGGATTAGTTTTAAATCTTCAAATATAATATTTTGTATGTGGAGAAAAAGATGGTAAGCAATTATACTACTGCTTCATACTGTTGCACAAAATTATATATAGAAAATATACCGCAAAATGCAACAGCAAATAGAATACTTTTAATACTAATAACAGTATGCTAATATTAATATTCATAGACTATAATACTAATAAAAACAGAAACTTGTTTTTTCATTATATAAGTATAGAACAATAAATCTACTGCACATTTATACTCCCAGATTATTATATTGTTTTGTTCCTTTTAATTGACTAATATATACAAAGTTATGAAACTATCTAATATATTTATATCATTAGTTATTCTGCAAGAGTACTATGGTTTTTTATCAATTTTAGGATTAGAGGGAACATAAATGATTAATTCTGACACAGAGATGTATCAAATTGAGGTGCACTTCAACATACTTGAATTATCAGATAATCAGGAAATGGTAAAGATTTGATTACTTAAAAAAATCTAGGCGATAAAAGCCAAAAATAAATATTTATCACTGAGAATTTTCTTTTAAATTACAACAGAGATACTTATAAAAATAAATTGTTTTTATAACTACCCAAAGAGATTGCAAATCATTTAACCAACAGTATTAAGACATAAGTTCAATATGAATTCTAATACTATTTAAAATGAAATAGCTTTGCAATTAACATTGCAATTAACCAATATTTCTATAGATACTGACTTAAATGACAGTGGTAAAGTTTACTCTAAAGCTTAAAAATTCTAGATCGATTTGTTCAATCTTAATGAGTAAGGCTGACTTGAAACTCTGTACGTGAGTGACACAAATTAATTAAGCAATACAGATTCATGTTTACTCAGATCTTTAAACAAAAGATTAAGTAATATTACTGATACCTCTCTCCGTCGAGAAGCCCAGCATGTTTGTTTGATCTTCCACACCACTGCAGCTACCAGCAATAAGGATAAAAAACAACTGGAAAATAAAACACAAGTAATTTGTGCTTAATACACTGGAAACATGTAATGAAATATTCAAGAATATGTATAGAATTTAAAAATATATAGAACTAACTATTCTGCCTTGGTAAATAATTAAAGCAAAAATGGATAAATTAGCTGCGTTTAAAATGTTCTCAAGTAAAAACAAAGTATACATGTAGAATAATTATTTATATTCTTGTTATACTTGATAGTCTATCTTTAAGATTTTCCCTGTCAGAAGGACTGTGAGTTTATAGCTGTGTTGGTCTTATACCCAACAGAAATCTATTTAGAATTGCTATCGAGTCATAAAAGCTGGCAACTGTATAAATCTAAATTTCACACAGGTTCATTCATTTTATCTTATTGGTAACTATTTTAGATATGAGAATATTCCAGCATTTCTCAACTGACGACAATTTTGTTCCCTACTCACCCCCAGGGCACATTTGGCAATGTCTGGAGATGGGTGTGATTATCACAACATTGATGGGGTACAAGTTCCATCAGTGATAGAGCCAGGGATGCTGCTTTTTAAACTATCCTGCAGGGCATAGGACTGTCCTCAATGACAAAGAACTATCCAGTCCAACATATCAGTCACACTTAAGTTGAGAAAACCTAGTAGACACTAATGTTTACACTAAGAAACAATTCAATTACAGTGTTTATACATATTTAGTATAATATGCAACAAGATATAAAAATGCAGGATACTTTGTTAGTAGTGACTTGAGACTAACAAATCTCAAAGTAACAGAATCATGTGGATCCGATTCATTGGTTCCAACCATGTACCACTGTTTTCCCTCCCTCTGCTCTGTGGTCACACATTATGCAACGAATAGACCCAGATATGAGCAAATTCAGTAGTCACTGGTCACTACAAAAAAACTGGTCTTCATCCTTAACTGATAATCTTTGTATTCTTAAATTGATTCACTCATAAGCTGTGTAAATTTTAGTGCTTTCTATCCTTGTTAATTCTTTAATACACTTTTTCTCCTCGTTTCACTAGAAGATCTTAGACTATCCTTCAATGATGAAAATGGCAATTCTAGCACCTAACCAATGAGCACTGAACACATTTCAGATACTGTGCCAAATACTTCATTCACATTGATGCGTGGGCTTGGTTTTAGAAAAACACTCCCAGACAGAATATATTATTCTTACTTTAAAAAAGAAAAATCCAAGGCTCAGAAAGTTCAAAGTAAGTTGCTGATAGTCACAAAGCGAGTGAGTGGTAGAGTCAAAGTTCAAATCCAGCTTTTAAGCCTCAAACTCTCTCCTCCCCAACTGTTGGGAACTCTGATTTTGCATACAATCTCACAATAGTTGTATTTCCATTTGTATTATCTAATCTGTTATCCGGTATCAAATAAAGAGGATTAAAAAAGGAAAAAAAGTCCGTGACCCTAACCTTTTTAACTAGTATGGTGTCTTTGGGGTTTTTTAATAATTATCTCCCCCCTAATATTTATAAACTCTTTCTTTTTACTTCATCTTAATTTAGATTTCCAAAAGTACCCAAGTCCCATATCTCCTGAAAAATAGAAACAACAACCTTATTTTATTGAGCCCATTGCTTCCTCTAGTATATCAAGCAAGTATTCAATGTAGCCACCTCCATGTCAACTTCCTCACAACCTAGTCCTGTTCAACTCCTCGCAATGTGGCATCTGGCTTATATACACATAAAGTTATTAGTATTAATAATGACCAATGTTTATAAAATACGCAGCATTTTAGAGGATACTTTCCTCACCCTGACATTCTACATATTAAATAAACTGGTCTTTTCTCTATTAACAGACTCCCACTTTTTAATTGATAATGCTAGCCATCCATTCTTTAAAACTTTCTTAAAACTTTATTTCCTTTTTAAAAATTTTTATTCAAATTCCAGTTAGTTAACATACAGTGTAATATTAGTTTCAGGTGTACAATTTATTAATTCAACACTTACATACAACACCCAGTGCTCATCACAGCAAGTGCCCTCCTTAATCCCCATTGCCTATTTAACCCATCCCCTCCCATCCACCTCCGCTCTGCTCACCAGAGTTTATTCTTAGTTGTTAAGAGTCTGTTCTTGGATTTGTCTCTCTCTTTTTCCCCCTATGATTATTGTTTTGATTCTTAAATTCCACATATGAGTGAAATCATATGGTACTTGTCATTTTCTGAGTTATCTCCCTTAGCATAATACTCTCTACCTCCGTCCACATCACTGAAAATGGCAAGATTTCATTCTTTTTTATAGCTAAGTAACATTCCATTATACATATGTATGTATGTATACACACATACATATACCACATCCTCTTTATCCATTCATCAGCCAATGGACATTTGGGATCTTTGCATAATTTGGCTATTGCAGATGATGTTGCTGTAAACATCGGTGCATGTATCCCTTCAACTTAGTATTTTTGTATTTAGTATTTTTGTATTCTTTGTATAAATACCTAGTAGTGCAATGCTTCCTCATAGGGCAGTTCTATTTTTAACTTTCTGTGGAACCTCCATACTGTTTTCCACAGAGCCTGTACCACTTTGCATTTCCACCAACAGTGTAAGAGGGTTCCCATTTCTCCACACCCTCATCAACACCTGCTTCTTGTGTTGTTAATTTTAGCCAATCTCACCGGTGTAAGGTGATACCTCATTGTAGTTCTGATCTGCGTTTCCCCGATGATGAGTGCTGTTGAGCATCTTTTCATGTGTCTGTTGGCCGTCTGTTCGTCTTCTTTGGGAAAATACCAATTCATATCTTCTGCCCATTCTTTAATTCAATTATTTATTGTTTGGGTGTTGAGTTTTATTAGATCTTCATATGTGTCGGATACTAACCCTTTATCAGATATGTCACTTGCAAATATCTTCTCCTATGCAGTGGGTTTTTGATTATTTCCTTCCCTGTACAGAAGCTTTTCATTTTAATGAAATCCCAATAGTTTATTTTTGCTTTTGTTTCCCTTGACTCAGGAAACATATATAGTAAGAAATTGCTACAGCCATGTCAAAGAGGTTAGTACCTGTATTGTCCTCTAAGATTATGATATTTTCTTATCTCATACTTAGGTCTTTAATCCACTTTGAATTTACTGTTGTGTTTCTGTATGAAAACGGTCCAGAATGTTTCATTCTTCTGCATATTGTTGTCCAGTCTTCCCAGCACCATTTGTTAAAGAGACCCTTTTTCCCTTGGATATGCTTTCCTGTTTTGTCAAAGATTAACTGACCATATAGTTGTGGGTTCATTTCTGGGTTTTCTATTCTGTTGCATTGATCTATATGTTTATTTTTGTGCCAGTATACTATAGCTTTGTTATATAACTTGAGGTATGGAATTGTGATACCTCCAGCTTTGCTTTTCTTTTTCAAGGTTGCTTTGGCTATTTGAGGTCTTTTGTGGTTCCATGCAAATTTTAGGACTGTAGTAGCTCTGTGAAAAACGCTGTTGGTATTTTGATAGGAACTGTATTTAAACGTGTAGATTGCTTTCGGTAATACAGACACTTTAATATATTTGTTCTTCAAATCCATGAGCATGGAATGTTTTTCCATTTCTTTGTGTTATCTTCATATCTTTCATAAGTGTTTTACAGTTTTCAGAGTCCTTTGGTTAGGTTTATTCCTAGGTATCTTACAGTTTGGGGACAATTGTAAATAGGATGGATTCCTTGACTTCTCTTTCTGCTGCTTTATTTTGGTATATCGAAATGCAGGTATGCATTTGATTGATTTTGTTGATTTTGCATCCTACAACTTTATTGTATTTGTATATCAGTTCTAGAAGTTTTTTGGTGCCATCTTTAGGGTTTTCTATACAGAACATCATGTCATCTGCAAATAGTGAAAGTCTGACTTCTTCCTTGCTGATTTGGCTCCTTTTTATTTCTTTTTGTTCTCTGATTACTGTGGCTAGGACTCCAATACTATATTAAATAACAATGGTGAGAGTGGACATCCTTGTTTTATTCCTGACTGTAGAGGAAAAGCTCTCAGTTTTTCCCCATTGAGCAAATTAACTATGGGTTTTTCATATACAGCCTTCATGATGTTGAGGTAAGTTCCCTCTATCCCTACTTTATTGAGGGTTTTTTATCATAAATGGATGCTATACTTAGTTAAATGCTTTTTTTCAATCTATTGAAAGGATCATAGGGTTCTTAATTCTTTTTTATTAATGTGGTGTATCACATTGACTGATTTGCGAATATTGAACCACATCTTCAGGAGTACATCCCACTTGATCATGGTGATTGATTCTTTTAATGTACTCGTTGGATTTGATTTTCTAGTATTTTATTGAGAATTCTGGCATCCATGTTCATCAGAGATATTGGCTTATAGTTCTCTTTTTTTGTGGTGTCTTTATCTGGTTTTGGTATCAGGGTAATGCTGGCCTCATAGAATGAATTTGGAAATTTTCCTTTTCTATTTTTTGAAATAGTTTGAGAAGAATAGGTATTAACTCTTTTTTAAATCTCTGGTTAAATTCGCATGTGAAGCCATCTGGCCCTGGATTTTTGATTGTTGGAAGATTTTTTTTATTACTGATTCAATTTCTTTGCTGGTTGGGCTGTTCAAGTTTTCTATTTCTTCCTATTTCAATTTTGGTAGTTTATATGTTTCTAGGAATTAATCCATTTCTTTCAGGTGTCCAGTTTGTTGGCATATAGTTTTTCTTAATATTCTCTCATAATTGTTTGTATTTGTGATGTTGGGTATTATTTCTCCTCTGTCATTTGTGATTTTATTTATTTGGGTCCTTCCTCTTTTCCATAAAATTCGCTAGGGGGGGATTATCAATTTTATTAATTTTTTTTCAAAGAAAGTCCTTAATTTTCTTGGTTTCCCTTCATCCTTCCTGACATAGTACAGGGTCAATGAGGTACATTGCATTCCAGGTTCCCTCTTTTAAATTATGGACATTCCCTAAAACCCAGTTCACACCATGTTGTCACCTCTTGCTCTCAGAGA